ATCTTAATTATTTGTCTGTATTTTTGAACTATTAATGATTGAGAAAATAAAAAATCAAAGGAAAATATCTTACTAGTAAAGATACGTACAGCAGTTTCCTTCTCGATATTATATAAATCAAGTTCATATAAATTGGGATAATTTGTACAAAGAAGAATACGTTCCATCGATGATGGTTCAACATTGAACTATTTGATTTTATCATGAATCGAAGGTAAAATTTGTGAACAAAATCGATCAAGTATTGAATTATTTGATTGAGGAAATGGACCACCATAAAAAAAACATCTTGTCATTGTTAAACGATTTGTAAAAATTGAATCATGTACAAGTTTATTAAATCGTTTATTAACATCTATGAATGAGTACAGTACTTTAGCATTGTCCAATTTTTTAAAAATAAGAAGAATCTCATCAGGTAAATCCATTTAACTCCACCGACAAAACTTTCATGTTTAACTTCACCTTTTGATTTTTCTTCGTTTATATAGATTTATTCAATTTGACCGATTTCGTCAATAGAAACAATGAAAAATTTTTTGTATAATCGAAATTAACGATGAATAAACGCAAAAAGAATAATATCGCCTTTTGCTCTCTTTCTTATTATTTCATATAGCGATGAATATGAATGCTGTCTGTTATAGATCTAATAAAATAAATAATATGTCATTCGTGTCAAATAGAAATGATTCTTTAAAAGTTAAATATTATTTTATATTTGACATCTGTTTGTATATTTTTCGTTCGATTCATTTGTTTGTAAAATAATTCTAAGAAAAAAAAAAATGTCAAAAACAAAATGAATTATTTTTATAATAAAAATTATCATGAAATGAATTAAATATATGTATCCACTCATTTAAAGTCATAAATTTATTCATTTGATAATGAGATCAAAAGAAATAGAATAACTTTTTCTTCTCAAATAAAAAGAAGTTTTATTAGAAAATTTGAGAAATTGAAAGAAGAATATTTTTTTTTAGTGTTTTTCATTTTTCTACTTATATAAAGCAAGATGTTCTTCAAAGTGAAGACTCAAATGAAAATACAGAATATTTCTCTTACTGAGAATGAGAGCAAAAGTCATACGTAGAAACACGTTTATAGAGTATATCATTTAATTTAGGATAAGTAGTTCCTAATATCTTGTAGTACATGATACTACCTTGCAATATCTGAGAGTTCCTTGTATCAGCTGCTAGTACTTCTAAATGTCTCGTATAGAAGAATGAATTTTGTCAGTCAATGTTAATAATTATTTCATAATCTGAATATTGAATATGAAAATACATATAAATAAGAGTGTTGACGAGTGATTGTGATATAAAGACGAGACTTTGTTATTGATGCATCTCACATCATATGGAGGTGATTTGCAAAGTTGAAATGTATACGATCAAAAGAGGAGAAGGAGAAGGTTGGATTTCCTCTCTCTGAATTTTTTTTTGTGTTATAGCTTTCTTCCTGAAAATTTTCTTTCCAAGCACTTAGCAATTTTTAATCTTTTGGTGAGCTGAATGAATTATGTCAAATGAAATCTAGAGCCCTGTAGGACTTTTAAGAATAATTCAAAAAATGTTTGTCACGAAATTTTTGAATTTGTGTATCTGAAGTCGCTATAGATTTAGAATTTCACATCTTTAGCAAACATTTTCATGTTTAAATAATTAGTGTAACAGAAAATGCAGGAAAATATACTGTGAGATTCCTTAAAAACTGTTATACATGAATCAATATATGAATGAAAATGAGAATGTATTGAAATTATAGTTATATCTCAAATTAATCTTTTTTTTTTGTCATTCTAAACTTGGACTAAGGGAGAGTAGACAATTTTCCTTAAATGTTCAAAGTTCAGATATTTTGTTCGATAAATAGCGAACGTTAAATTTTAGTTGCATGTGAACATTTTTCTTGATTGATATTGTATAGACAATAAAATCTATCAGAACATAATTAATTCATCTCCTAATCATGGATGTGAATAGATTGTTTCTGTTATCAGTATAGAAAATTTGTATTGGTTTTTAACAAACTATATCCTTTAAATGTTTTCCAGCTTACGAGACAAGCGGGACTTTTCTGGACTATTCAGTAAAATTTCGGACGGGGCAAACCGAATTCGGAACACAGAAAAGTTTGTCCCGTAGGTCTCTAATGAAACCAGCTATATTCTCTCATACAAAAATACACTTTCATTATCGCAAGTAGCATGAGTCTGTCTGTCCAATAGTTTAGACACATCCACATCCTCAAGAGAAGTACACTAAAACGAATTAAAGCTAAACTATAAAATAAGTTTTCATCTACAGCATTAGAAATGGTTGTGAAATTTACCATACTGAGACTAGATATTAATGAAAATGGTATAGATGGTATTCTACATCATTTTTCTATGTATTTGGGAAGAGTAAAAGCTCATAATGTCAAAATATATAGATAGACAAAAATATTAGACAATCTTTTGAAAGAACATTACTTTTGAAATTATTGATATAAACAATTGTGTATAACAAAAATAAACTTGTTTCTCATTTATCTCAATTATTTGCATCAATTTATGAAGATACAAAATAGCAAAGAAAATACTATTCCAATTCAATTGATAACAAAATGCTTCCAAGTTCCAGATGAGAATACAATTATTTTACTGTAAAAAAAAAATCTGATGCGAAAAGTCGTTTCTCTTTAGCTTTGGGAGATTTTCTTCCTGAAATTTTCTCTACTCTCAGCAGAATCAAACGAAAACTATGCTTGTGCATTATCTATATATTTTTCGTCTCGTCCGCACCTTAGTCATTTCTTGTCTTCTTCAACAAAAAAAAAAAACATCGAAATTCGCATCTTATTTCTCTTTTTTTCTTCTTATTGCACAATTGGAAAAGAAGATATCTAACGTCATCTTCTCTATTAATTGTTTGATCTGAATTTAAGTTAGAGAATGTATCGAAGTTATCCTCTTTATTTTTGTTTTCTCTCTATCTTTGTGTGGATATCCATAATGTGTAATAAAGAAATCCTTTTTTTTTCTAAATCAATCAATTATTTCCGACAATGAATCAAATTCGTTTCGAACAGGGATATTGCTCTAGAAAGAGATCTTTACATTATAATTATTCAGAAACAATTAATTCCATTGAACATGCATAAAAAAATACGTCCAAAAAATGCTTTTTACTGTAAAAGACTTCAAGTTGACATTTGTAGCATTGAAAGTAACGATATTTGCTTGATAAAAATAAGAATAATTTTAGATCAATAATGAAATGTAGTCTATAGAGAATAGTGTCTAAAGTGTAATTACAAAGATATTTTACATTTTAAATTTAAATCATATCTGTCAAATACCCTTTTGATTTATCGTATACATATCTATAATCTGTGTCATTTATCGTTGTTGTATCTGTCCGATTATTCAATAGAAATAGTGATTTGAATTTGATATATTACTATTGTAGTACACTGAAACCTTCACTACTGAACACTTTCTAATTACGAACCCTCAGATCTGACGAAGCAGTTTTTAATTGAAATAACTTTGAATGGTTCGATATTCTAAATAGTGAACACTTTTTGCAGTCTCTCTTGCTATTAGAACATCTCTAATGCGAGCACATGTACAATATTTTTCTTTTTTGAGCTTCTTCTATTCTCTATCACTTGTTTCTTATGCACTATGAATGCATTTGTTAGCTTTTCGTATGTTATCCTAAATCTCCTGCACACGTTCT